GATGAAAGTAGTTTCTGATCACTTCTTTAAGCCCTTTAACAGAAAACACCCCCAAAGCGTGTAACCGATAATACCAGTTTATCACGGTCCAACCTTAGATGTTTTAAGTTTCACATTCAACTTTAACAGATTCTCCATTTTAAGTATTACAATATTGTGTGCAGTATTTTTTGTGATATTTTATTTTATCTATATAGAAGGTATTCGTGCAATGCAGCGAGATACATATTCATTTTAATGTTTCGTTTTATTTTTTTATTTTTGTTGATATAATACGGTTTATGTAGTTTTGAGAAAGCTAATGTTTTTACTCTTGAATAAAAATAAATTTGCAGACATCATAATTTTTTTTTAAAATATATCGATATTAATATCAAATTAACTATTTTAAAAGTTGTTGTTTTTTATATAATTTATTTAATTCATTTTTATTATAATTTAATTTACATAAAATAATAAAATAATTTATTTTTGGCTTAACAATGATTTTTTATAAAGATAATAATTCTGTTAGAACTTGATAATTATTCTAATTATATTTTAGATTTTTTATTTTAAAATAAGATGTTTATTCTCTATTTGATTATGTTTATCGCAGTTAGTTACATGAATTTTAACATTAAGCTTTAATAAGTTGTACTTATGCATAATTTACTTGTAATATTGAATTTTAAGTAATATGCATCAATATACCATACTTCATGTATAAAAAATGATTTTTAAGAGTTTTTGTCAAATGCTTTATAATATAGTATTGATTGTTTTTTATATATCTAATTATAATGAAAATTAAAATATAATATTACTTTATAACTATTTTTACATTTTTATTGATTAGAATTGGTTCATAAACTTGAATGTCTCACTTTGGGATGTTTGAAATATGTTTTAAAATCGATTATTTTGATTTTAANAACTAGCTTATCAGTAGTTTATCAACTACCTGCTAGTTTTCCAAACATACCCTAAAATTTCTTTTTGTTGGTCATGTATATTTTTTTCAACATCAATAAATGTTATATAATCAAGAAAATATATTAAAAACGAGTAAAATAATATTTGGAATAAAAACTGAGATAAGAACCACGGTTCTTGTACAAAACTCAAAACATTTTACTGATTTGTAATATCCTCATRATGACGATAACTTATAAAAACTACATTTTTTGGTTATAAAAACCTCTCATTATGAATGTTTCTTGATCATTCGATCCTAAATAAAGCAACAATAAATAAGTCATAATTCCGACAAACCAATTACCAAAATTTCAAAATGAAACTGGCAAAGTTTATATATAGTCAAACACCGTCTCATAGATTTCAGTACAAACACGTAAAATTTCATTTATAATATAATTGGTGRGTTTGAGATTAAAGGTGATCAATCTTTCTTACGTTTCTCATCTTAACTCTTCTTCTTACACGATTTTTCGCCCTCTCACCAAATGGTATAATATAAAAGATTTTTGTCTGATGCATAAAAGTATCTCCAACAGATTTTCAAAAGTTTTTTTGAAAGATAGCAAATATATTGAAAAAAAAAAGTATAACACCGACTGATACTGCAAGAAGTAGAAACAAAAATAAACAAACAAACGGATCACGACAGCTTGTAAAAGGGCAGACAAAACCACCAGCAACYGAAAACAAACCAACAAGAAGACAAAAAGCCCAACTAACCACCCTGCTTGCAACACGGCAACACCAATCCATCCGAGAAAAACTGAGACCCTTAACTTGAACAAAAAAGCCGGTGAAAATAAATCAGTTGAATGTCGACAATAAATCTCGACCTAGAGGAGGAGTCATGCAAAACGCCAATTGGTTATGAAAATTCCAATTAACGTACAGCCCGCACCAAAGAACCACCATCCAAAAATCAACAAGAGGACCTCTAATCAAATGATGCGATATACCCCAAGAATATATGAGGTTGAGTTTATAGGAATACTGTGAAGACCCTATTACTTTAGCAACTTTTCCCAAACATGTTGAACCTTGCACAGCTGACAAGGCGATGATCGAAGTCTTCAACGACCTCGCTACATCAAGGACATAAGACAAAACTTATATCCATTCTCCAATTAACCAAAAGAGATCACACTGGAAGCTTCCCTTGTCTCAATTGCCAAATATACCAACTTTGCAACAGATAATTGGCTGAATCTCGGCAAAATAATGATGAAAGTAGTTTCTGATCACTTCTTTAAGCCCTTTAACA